TGCTTAGCATGCAGAAGGTCCTGGGTTTAATCCCCAGTACTACAAAGAAAAAAAAAATTCACGGCTGGCCTGGACTATATAACAGAACTCTTTCCAAAGAAAAAACAAGATGAAAAGAAATCATTGGGGCTGGAGAGATGGCTCAGTGGTTAAGAACACTGTTCTTGCAGAAGACCTGGGTTCAAATCCCAGCACCCACATGGCAGCTAACAACTGTCCCTAACTCTAGTTCCAGGGGATCCGATAGCCTCTTCTGTCCTCCGTAGGCATTGCACTGACACAGGTGCACTTACTTACATACAGGCATAACACTCATACACATAAAAATTTTTTTTCAAAAATTAAAAAAAAAATCATTATTTTGTAACTCCTAATAAAACAAAAGAACTAGGCAACACCCTTCAACAGGCACTAGAATTATTTAGTTAAAAGTTGATAGGGATCTTTATTTTGGGGAATTAGGCTGATATCATCTGAGCCCATTGGCATCACCAAGTGTGAAAACCCAGTGGCTGCCAGAGGCTTGGCTCAAACGGGGAGGATAAGGCGTCATTTAATGTGTACTGAATTTCACTTGTACAAGATGAGAAAGTTTATGAAGACAGACAATGGTTATGATTGCACATTACGAATGTACTTAATACTAATGAACTATAAGCTTAAAAATAGTTAATATGGAGCTGGGCATGGTGGCACATGCCTTTAATCCCGGCACTTGGGAGGCAGAGGCAGGCGGATCTCTGTGAGTTCAAGGCCAGCCTGGTCTCCACAGTGAATCCAGGCCAGCTGTGACTACAGGGAGACCCTGTCTCAAAAAGACCAAAAAAAAAAAAAAAGGTTAATATGGGGATGGAAGCTGAGTAGCAGAGTGCTTGCCTAGCATGCATGAAACCCTGGGTTTGATCCAGTAGTAAAAGCAACACAGCTAGGGAAGCTGAAGTGGGAGGGTCCTGTGTGAGGCCATCCTAGACCACATATAACAAAGCTACATCTTTAAAACAAAAAGACAGTAGAAAAACATTTCACCCAGACATTCTACTCCTTGGTAAATCAAAAGAATTGAAATAAGGCCTCTGCTGGGCATGTGGTACATTCCCATAATTCCAGCACTCAGGAGGCAGAGGCAGAAAGAACTCCAGTACATGCAAAAGAATGTTCAGAGCAGCATTATTCACAACAGCAAAAAGATGAAAGAAACTCAAGTGTCCATCAATAAATGAACAAACCAGGCCTACTGGAGAACACCTGAAGTCCCAGTACTTAGGAAGCTGAGGCAGGAGGACCACCGAAGCTCAGAAGTTGGAAGACCAACATGAGCAACATAGTGAGACTCCGGTCTCAAAAAACAAAAACAAAAACAAAAAGCCATTGCACAAGACCCATGCAAACTCAAGGAGACAAACACCCAGTACAGAACTGTGGAAATGGACAGCAGGCCCCAATCTTAGTTGAAGAATTACTGGCAGCTGATTACTGCTGGGTGAGGAAGAGCTGATCTTAAAGAGAGGGTCTCTGAATAGACTGACTAGACCTCAGTGGATGAACTTGCACCGAGGGACATCTGGGACACTAACGTTACATGATAGACCTAAACACAAATGACAGAATGTATGATGGGGCAGTTATGGGAAGGGCCCCTGGGGAAGAGGGTATAAAGATGATTAAGATGTTCTGTATGAAATACACAAAAATTTAGCCAGGGATGGTAGCGCACACCTTTAGTCCCAGCACTTGGGAGGCAGAGGCAGAGATCTCTATGAGTTCAAGGCCAGCCTGGTCCACAAAGTGGTTCCAGGCCAGCTGGGGCTACAGAAAAAGACAAAAGAAAAGAAAAAAGAAATATACAAAAATTCAATTAAAAAAAAAAAAAAAGCCAGGTACAGTGGCATACATCTGCAATCCCAGCACTAGGATTCAAGGCTAACCTGGGCTACATGAGACCATCTCAAAAAAAATTTTTTTAATGGATCAATCCTGAAAACATCATGGTAAAGAAGCGAGATATCCACCCAGACACAAAAGGACAAACACTATAAGGTTCTACTTATATGAAATATTGGGCAAGGCACGGTGGCACACGCCTTTTTCTCAGCACTTGGGAGGTAGAGGCAGGAGGATCTCTGAGATTGAGGCCAGCCTGGTCTACATACTGAGTTCCAGACCAACTGGGGCTGCAGGGAGACCCTGTCTCAAAAAGAAAAAAAGAAGAAGAAATATCTAGACTATGCAATTCATAAATAGTTCACTCTGATGAGGCCTTTTGTTGTTTACTAGGTTAAAGGCTGGGGGCAAAAGGTAAAAGGGATGACAGTTTTTACTTAATGGGTATGAAATGTCTGTTGGGGAATGATGAAAAAGGACTGGAAATGATAGTGGTGATGGAAATAATGCAGATGCTCTTAATGCCACTGAATCTCATACTGAAGGGTTATAGCTGGTATGATGGGACATGACCAGCACTTAAGAATGCTGAGGCAAAAGGATCTAGAGTTTCAGGCTAGTCTGGGTTACACACGGAAACCCTGTATCAAAAAAAAAACAATCTAAGGGCTAGAGAGTTGGTTCATTGAGTAAGAGTGCTTTGCTACCAAGTCTAAGGACATGAGTTCAATCCTCAGGACACACATGGTAGCTCTGACCTCCACATATGCACTGTGGCCTGCAAGCTCACACAAACACAAAGAAATAAATGTAATAAATTTTTTTAATCAAAAAAGAGGTCATAATGGTAAATTTTATGTTACATATTAAGTGTGATTAGCAAACTTCAGTTAGGATGTGACATAACAGATGAATACTTACGAAGTCTCTTGCCCCATAAATCAGAATCTAATCAAGCTTTAAGAGGTAATGAGTTTAAATCAGTCAGCCCAGCATCAGGAAGCAGAGGCAGAGGCAGGAAGAACTCCAATACTCTGTGATCTCTGTGAGTTCAAGGTCTGCATAGTGCTAGCCAGGACTAAACAATGAGACCCTGCCTAAAAATGGTAATTCATAATACTAATAGTCCGTCAGATCCAGAATCTGGGACAAATGTTTAACAAAAAGTCATGATACAGAAAGAGAACAAAACTGTTACAGGAGCCTAAACTAACAGAACAACAAAATGCAATAGGTGAATTTCAATTCTGATGCAAACAAATCGAGCAAAAGACTACACTTGATATAAATGAGGAAACTTGAATAAGGATTGGGTACTCAGAATAAAAGAATATTGTTAATTTTCAAAGTGATATAACTTTATAGAGATTATGTTGAAAAAACAAAACCAAACAGAACAAACAGTGAAAGGCCTCATTAGAGATGAACACTGAAGAGATGCCTAAGTCAACAGCTTCACATTTGGGTTGACAAGTGTTAACCACAGAGACTGAGTGGTGGGTATATGGGATTCCATCCTGAGTCTTCTCTCTTGGAATGCTTTAAATTTTCCACTAAAAAAAAAAAGTTTTTAGGACTTGGTACAGATGTAGCTCAGTTAGAATGCTTGCCTAATAATACAAACAAGGCTCTAGATTTGATCTCCAGCACCACGTAAAATCGCGTATGGTGGTGTACACCTGTAATACCAATACCAGGAAGTGAAGACAGGAGGATTAGAAGGTCAAGCTCATCCTTAGCTAAGTAATAAGTTCAAGGACAGTCTGAGCTACACATGAGACCCTGTCTCAAAAAAGAAAGGAAAAGAAAGAAAAAAAAACCACTTTAAAAACTACCCTATTTTGAGGAAAGATATTCTAAAATCTATAGGCTGAGAAAATAACTGCAAATACAGTTAAATGCCAAAAGTATTTGCTAAAACAATAGTGCTGTGATATAAAGGGGAACTGCCCTGAGTATGTGGTCTGGAAAGACTAACAAATGTTAAATCTTTACCATTAAACACATGCAACAAAACCCCCATCAGCTGTACAATCTTCAGAAATGAATAGAATCCAAGTAAATTCCAAAATGGGTAATTCGTGGATGCCATATGGTAAAGATTCTACATGGAAATCAGGGTGTGACAACCATCTGAACAGTTATGACTGTTTCAACTAGCAATACTTAGTAAGGTATCATTTACCCAAAACACAGTCAGTGAAAAGACAGAGTTGATTTAGAACCCCTACTTTTAGAAATCAATAAGGGAGAAAGGTGCAGATGTAAGGTGGGATAGCATGCCTGCTCATGACCATGTAGAACAGGAGGCCAGCAGGAAGGGCTGTGGCCACACAAGATGCCAAGATTGGGGATATGGGGCTCCAGCCAACCGTATTCATCTTTCTTTCCTTCCAGGTGTAATTTCCAGGTATGCTCAATATTAAGAGTTGACTAAAGCTGGTGTGGTGGCACACACCTTTAATCCTGGTACTCAGGGAGGCAGAGACAGGTTAGTGTCTATGAAATTGAGGCCAGCTTGGTCTACATAGCAGAGTTCTAGGCCAGCTGGGGCTACAGGGAGACCCTGTCTCAAAAAACACAACACAAGGACTGGAGAGATGGCTCAGTAGTTAAGAGCACTGGCTGCTCTTCCAGAGGATCTGGGTTCAATTCCCAGGACCCACATGACAGCTAACAAGCGTCCGTAGCTCCAGTTCCAGGAGATATGACACCCTCTTCTGACCTCTGCAGGCATTGCATGACATGGGTGCACCTACCTACATGCAAGTAATACACTCATACACATAAATTTTTTTTTTAATTTTTAATGGACTGAATTAAAATTCTCCAAAAACTAGCATTTCAATTTAAGGTGCTCACATCTTTCAACTAACCAAAAGATGAAATCCATTAAGCTAACCATTTTCTAACCATCTGTATTAAAAGGAGTTAAGACCCAAGTTCTTTTTTCTAGGACCAGATTTAGGGGCTATATCTCAAAGAATCCACCTCCCCTGTAAGTGAAGGGAGGCAGCAGAGGGGAATGACTGGCAGTCCCAATAAAGCAGAGTACCAGCAGGCATTACCTCAAGTATCCATCTTCAGACACATTTAGTACACACACTTCCATACTTTACCTTGAGTATTCTGGAAGTAATGTCGCCACAAAGGTCTGATTTTGTCCTGGCCACCAACATCCCAGACAGTGAAGCTGATATTTTTATATTCTACTGTCTCCACATTGAAACCTAAATAGGGAAGATAGAAAAACTTCTAATTATTTATGATTTTTGCAGGTTGAATAATCCAATTAACATTCAGATAGTACTTCCACTTTACAAAGCAGCTTGCAAACCAAAGATCTATAGTTTACAAAGAGAAAATTCTCACTTTTTCATTCATTGTGCCTGGTGTCTCAAACCTTTCATACTCTGATCACCCACGTCCAACACCCCACCTAATCACCAACCTCCCAGCTCCTCTTTCTTTCAACAGAAAACCTTCTAAGGTACTTCTGAACAAAGGGAAGTCATTCATAGAAATTATCTCCACTTCCCACCATACAGGGTAAGAATCTACCTATATCTTCCCTGCATTCCTCTTCTTCCATCTTGGAACAGTGGAAAGTGGCCAAGTATCTGATGACAATTCCCTCCACTGACCTTGATGATCTGAAGACTTACACACCAATATCTCTCCTTTATCCCAGTTCTCTCCAATCTGTTCTCAGCGTGCCTAGGCACTTCACACACCACATGTATTTTAAAAACTCTGAGCTGGGTATGGTAGGACACGCTTATAATCCCAGCACTTGGGAGGTAGAAGAAGTCAGATCATGAGTTCAAGGTTATCCTTGGCAACCCAGAGAGTACAAGGCTGCTTGGATTATGTTTCATTAAACAACAAAACTTCTTCAACTCTAGATCTTTACCTTCCATGACCTTCTATTTGCTCTTCTAAAGTCAAAAGTCTCTCTAAGTTTGGATATATTCACTGAGTCTGCCTGGTCACATCTCACCCAATAGTACCATAGCTCTGCTGGTTTCATAGGGGATCAAACAATGGTCATCACATTGATAAATGCAATATAGGTTTTTCATTCTTCCATGATTTGATTTTTGTATCTGACACTATAGCTCACTTCTTCCATGGATCTCCTGGCACAAATTTTCCAACTCTACAGCTGTACATTTTCAGTCTCCTTTGTCAGGTAGATTATATTCAAATGATCTTTGTCATGAGTTCCCATGATTCTGCTCCATCAATTCTCAGTTTTCTACACCACCCTCCACCCCTAGACTGTCACTTATCTCCAAGGCTTCATTACCATCTTTGTACTGACAACCCTTAAGATGTATCTCCTCAAACCCAGGCCTCTGGCCTAAGCTTCAGGCTCAGAATTCAACTTCAGTTAGATGTCTCTAAGGCCCCCAAATAAGGTAATCTGTCAAATATGAGACTTAAGATCACCATTCCTTCAGCCTGCTCCTCTACTAGCTAGTTCCTCATTCATTCCATGGGCTGAAAACCTAGGTGTCCCATATACTTCCAACTCTCTCACCATCAAAAATTCCATTACAAAACTTTATCAACTCAACCTCTCAAATATCTAACAGTTATCTTGAGTTATAGGACCATCATTAACTAATCTCCTTGCAGCCATTCTTCATCTCCAACCAATCACCATTTTCTAATCTGAGTGACCTGTTAAAACCATGTAATGTGGCTAAATGGTGTATCACTTCCCTTTTGTGTGTGTGTGTATGTATAGTACATGTGAATACAGAGGCCAGAAATCAACACTGGGTATCTGTCAATCACCTTTACCTCAGTTTTGAAACAAGGTCTCTCACTGAAACTGGAGCTCACCTATTAGACTAGACTAGCTGGACAGTGAGCCCCAGGGATCTGCTTGTCTCTGCTTCCCCAGCATTGGAATTATAGATGCCTCACCTGGTTCTTTCTGTGAATGCTAGGGATCCAAACCCAGGTCTTCAGGCCTATACAGCAAGCACTTTACTGAGTCATCTCCCAGCCCATGAATCACTTCTCTAGACATTTATCTGATCCAAATATTTTAAATCATTACAACAAAATAGGGCCAGATATGGTAGCCCCATGCCTAACTCAGTTAAGGGAAGAAGATCTCAAGTTAAGGCCAGATTAAGCCATATATGTCTAAAAATACAAAAAAAAAAAAAATCACCTCTCCTTGCCTTGGCCTCCCACACCTTAAGTTGCAAATATGACTGACTGCCAAGGCCTATAGCAACCTGAAAGCCCACCTTGAAATTCTGAATTCTAGTCAGGCCTTACACTGCAACAAGCTAAATCCTGATAAGTATATAAATTCAATACTATTCCAGAATAAGCAATCACTTTTTTTTTGTTGGTAGCACCACCTTTTTGTGGAGAACAGTCTGATAACCTGCATATACATTTTAAGTATTCATTTGTTTTAACATCGTGAGAATAAGAACAGCAAATTTAGCAAAATTACCTTAATCTGGTAAAAATAAGCCAGTATGTCTAACGAGGAAATTTATGAAAACGAGTAATAAATTATTTCTAACAATACTTGAATAAAGTTCAAATGGATATAACAGGAAGTGGTCTAGAAAAAGATACCTAATGAATGAGAATTTAGTATATGATAAGGCACTTTATATCAGCATGGGAAAGTTATTCAGTAAATGTTTCTGGGTAACTATCCACCCTTGAGAAGTCCAATACACAGCCACTAGTCACATGTAGCATTTAATTATTTATTTATTTTTATTTTATGTGTCTGAATGTTTTGCCTGTGTGTTTGTAAGTGCCCAACAAGCATGCCTGGTGATCATGGAGGCTGGAAGAGGGCATTAGATCTCCTGGAGCTTGTGCTAGAAACCAAACCTGCATCCGTTACAAGAACAGCAAGTTCAGCAAGAACAGCTGAGCCATTTCTCCAGCCCCATTATGTAGCATGTAAGTGTACGTAAAGTTAAACACAATCAAAAGTACAGTTCCTCAGTTGCACTTGTCACATTTCAAATACTCAAAAGCCACTCGTGGTTACTGGTACCCACAACCGGAGAGCACAGACACAGGATATCTCCACCATCACGGAAAGTGATGTCTATACCTCTGGAAAAAGATAACCAAATCACTACCTTACTCAGTGGATAAAATATTTCATTGTTTTATAAAATGAAAATCTTATTTTTAAAATGAAATTTTTAAACCCCATAGAATTAGAAGAAATAGAAAACATTTTTATGATCTTGAAGTAGACTTTTCTAAAGATGATATAAAATTCAAAAAGAAAAAAAAATGTACATTTGGCCATCTAAAATTTCCCTGTGGCAAAGATGGAAAAAACAAGGATGAAAGACAAGTAAGCAAGTGGAAAACGAGCACCTGACCCAGACTGCCTGTCTTCATACTGCTAAGAGACAAACATCTCAACACAAAAATAACTGAACAATAAACATAGAAAGCAAATTATTCTAATAGAAGTCCATGTTTTCTCCCTGTCAAGATGGGTAGACTTCCAGGAGAAATGAGCACTTTTTACTGTTGGTGGCACAACATTTTTCGGTGAACAGTTTAGCAACCTGTATATTTAAAATACCATTTAACATAGCAAGCCCTCCTCCAGGAATTGCTGCAAGGAAGTAAAGTACATGCCTGCAAAAATGTCAAGGATGTTTACTTTGACATTATTTACAAAAACAGACAATCGAGTTTGGCATGGTAGCACGGGCCTGCAATTTCAGCACTTGTGAGGGAGAAGCAGGACGACTGCTGCAGTTTAAGGTTATCCAGGGTTACCTAGCAAGACTGCGTCTCTAAAAAACAAAAAAACCCCAAACAACAAACCGGGCTGGGGAGATAGCTTAGTTGTTAGTGCTTTCTTTGCAAGCATGCGGACCTGAGTTCAATCTCTAGCACTCATGTTAAAAAAATTTAGAAAGAAAAAAAAAAAGCCAGACCTGTTTGTAATCTCAGAACTGGAAAGGTAGAAACAAGAGGATCCTAACCTCATAGAGCAAGTTCTAGACAAGTTAGAGATTTTTGTCTCAAAAAAAAAAGGTGGCCAGTGACTGAGGAATCACACCCAAGTTATATTCGCCCCCCCCACACACACACAGAGCAAAGAAACAACTGCAAATAACTTAACCATTTATCACCAATGCAAATTAGTTTAAAACCACCATATTATGGAATACCAAAGCAGTTAAGGCACCATGTTGATCTCTACCAGCATCCTTGTTGATACCCTTGCCTCTTTTCATCTAATGAAGGTCATCTCATTCTTTCAGGATCAAGAATACTTCTGTTGGATGCTTTGGCCTCCTCCTCAGCTGCATCTACCTAGTGAGTGGGCTGGCCAGACCTCTCTCTTTCTAAGTGGTCTTTTATTCTCCAGGAGCATTGGCTTCTTTAACTGATGGAGTTTTCAGTGATAGCAAGTGCCACAGTACAAACACTTGTCAACTTTGCTCAATCACATTTTCGGATGTCTCACTGGCTAAAGCAAGTCATGGGGCCAAGAATAGCACCATGCAGGAAGGGGATGGTTCACAGCAAAGATGTTGAACGGCATTATTCGCTGGGGGCTGTTAGTTCAACAATCTATCTATTGGACACTAACATGACCAAGCATTCTACCAGATGCTGGGGACAGTGAGCAAGACAAACATGGTTCCTGCTCTTATTTACATTGTTGGGAAGAAGAGAGTGAACAATAAACTACAAATATATTTCTAACAGTTACTAAGAACTTGAAGTTGCTATAGAAACTTAGAGCAAGGGAAAGTGATCCAAGGGAAAGAGCCTCTGAGAAACAATGTCTAACTGAGAGCCAAAAGAATGAGGGGGTATTGACTAGGTGGAGAGGAGAGGGCAAAGGAAGAATGCAGGAAAGCATCCAGAGAGGAAATGACAGAGAGGACGACACACACATAACTAGGCAAACCACATGCATTGTACTAACAAACCCATCAAAATCTAATATAACATTTTTCAAAACTTTTTTGCATGTACAATTTTAATTATTTTTTAATATTTTATCTATTATTTTTATGTGTATGCATGTATTGCCTGCGTGTAGGTAAGTGCACCCATATCATGCAATGCCCTCAGAGGACAGAAGAGGCCGTCGGATCCCCTGGGACTGGAGTTACAGACAGTTGTTAGCTGCCATGTGGGTTATGGGATTCGAAACTGGGTCTTCTGCAAGAACAACCAGTATTCTTAACTGCTGAGCCATCTCTCCAGCCCCATGTACCATTTTTAAAAAGCATGTATTTTTTATTTGTGTGTGTATGTGTGTTTGTGTGCACATGTGGAGGTCATAGGCCATCTTACAGAAGGCTGTGGTCTCCTTCTACCATGTGGGTCCCAGGAATCAAACTCAGGTCATCAGGTTTGGCAGCAAGCATGTTTACCCACTGAGTAATCTTGCCAGTCAATGTATTGTTTTTATAGATGGAGAAAGCTGTTTCTAACACATTTTTCAAATTGTGTGTGATCACTGCCATCAGTTTATGCTTTCTCAAATACTGCAATCTCTGGAGCTAATTCCCAAGATGAAAGTCGACCCTTTGAGTTCTATGCCTATCCCAGCCATACAGGACTCAGTACAGTGCCAATAGGCACATGCCAAACTGGGGAGAATATCCACCTCAGGCATCTGGTTTTCTAGGCAGGTCACAAGAGAAAGATTAAGTTCTGTCAAAACTTTTTCAAATCCATTAAAGAGCCCATAAAAACACAGTGCTGGTTCACAGTGAGAGTAGACTGTTGAACTCTTTCATAACCATTTAAAGTACTTGTCTTGAGCCAGGGTGAAAAGAATTCCCATTCCACCTTTAAACACTAGATGTACACCTGGTGCAGACAGATGCTCCCAAGAGGCCAGGTGGACTAGAGGCTGATAAGAGGCAGCATCACCTCCCACCTCAGGCTTGCACTAGGACCCACCTCATCAGAAATAGAGGGCAGAACACATCAGGGGCTAGAAAAACGGCTCAGTGGGTAAAGTGCTTGCTCAGCAAGAATGAGGACCCGAGTTCAGAACCCTAGGACCCATATAAAAGATGGCACATATCTGTAACCCCAGTGCCAGGCAGGGAAAGAGTGGTGGAGACAGGAAGATCCTCCATTGTGCTGACCATTCAGCCTCACCCAAAAGGCAAGCTCCAAGTTCAGAGATGAGACCCTGTCTCAAAAACAAAGTGGTGGGTAATAGAGGATGACCCTCAATGCCAACCTCTGGTCTCCCTTATGCATACACACACATACAACTCATTACACACAAATAAAAATGTTTATAAAGTAACACAAAGCACAGCATGCTAAACTATGAACTGGAGCTGTACAGGTCTGTATACCTATGGTAGGGATGGTTGTCACAATCTCTCCCAGCTTCAGCTTGTACAAGATGGTGGTTTTACCAGCTGCGTCCAAACCCACCATGAGAATCCGCATCTCTTTTTTTCCAAACAGACTTTTAAACAGCTTTTCAAAAACGTTTCCCATTGCAGCTGAATTTTGTAACCTGAAGGAAAAGAGTGAACAGTTATTCTTTGTTGAGATATAAAAGCAACACATAAAATACATGACACAATTAGTAGTGGTTCCTAGCAAAAGTTCAGTTCAGCTTGGCCAATAAAAAAGTGTGTCTTGTTTTCTAAAGGAGACTCAACTACACCATCTTCTGATGCCCTGCCAGGAAATTTCACTTTCTACTCAGTTTTCCAGTGGGATATGCAGAAGCACACCCTCAATGCCAGGTTACAGTGGCAGCCTTTAGCCATCTTAAATACAGAAGCAGCACCACAGCATATAACTCTTTCTTCTAAGCATTCTTGAAATGTGAAGCACAAACCCTATTTTCCACAATAAGAAGCAAAGTCATTAAGGAAAGTTAAATAACAACATCCCTAGGAAATTGTCCTTGCCTTTGGCTAGCAGACAATACCAAGAAACGAAATAAGAAATTTCAGAGTTGAGGATATTGAGCACTGGGAAACTACTGCTGACAGAAATTAGGCAGAAGTGAGGGGAGTTTTCGCATCCAGCATTGTACAGGTTTGATCATCTTCTTACTCTCAAGCATTTTAAACACTTTTACCACAATTTACATATTGATTAAATAAATAACGATAACTGTAAAGGTAAATGAATGCTCGTAAACCAAAGGCAGCTATTATTGACCCAGTCAAGAGTAAGATGATTGGAGCTGGAGAGAGGTGCTTGGTGTTTAAGAGCACTGGCTGCTCTTGCAGGACTTGGGTTTGGTTCCCAGCATCCACCCCTAACAACCACCCTTAACTCCAATTCCAGGGGCTCTCACTCCCTCTTCTGGCCTCCGGGGGTATTGCATGAACAGGTGCACTTACATTCATGCAGGCAAAACACTCATACACATGAAATTTTTAAAATTAAAAATTAAAAAAAAAGAAAAAGTTAATTAGCAGTCGGATTCTCCTTGTACCTCGCCAAGTAATTACACTGTAGAAGATAACTATTCTGTTGACTTAACAGCTTAAACATTCGTTATTTTATTTTTCAATACACTGGTAGGTTCCCTGAGAAGACAATAAAACACCATTCCATTCTCCCGCGAGAGACAGCCAGTATTTCTCCTGTACACAAACGAGGGTCAAGCGGTCAAAGAAAGAATGACCCCTTTGCTCATTCAGAGGTCCTTCATAGGTCTAAAAACCTTCCAGGGCGTGAAGCACTCACAATCTGGCGACAGCACTAGATTCTTTTCGTTTTGTTTCCGAAAGACAAAATAAAAAAGACAATTGTCAAAGACCGGGAAACCAGGAGAACCCTGCGGCGAGGAGGCAGCTCCCGCTTCCAGGCCTCTGCAGGCGAGCGCTCCGCACGCCGCACTCCCGGTTATCCGGCTTCCAGCCTCGCGTCTCCCAGAACCGATGGCGGGGGAACCCTCGGAAGAAGGATCCGCCGACCCTTACCAACAAGTGCCAAATGTCCGTGTTGGGGGGGGGGAGGATCTTAAGTGACCATGCTACTGAGACCTCAAGGGCACGAGCGACAGCGGCAGTCCAGGGTACCGGGAACCCGGGGCAGCCGACAGAGTGCTCTTTTAGCCCGGGCCTGGCGCTCCTGCGCTGAGCAAGACCGCCCGAGCGCCCCTCAGCTCCGCGCTGCCCGACTCGACAGAAGCGGGGAACCTGCAGCAGGAGCCCAGGCACTTTCCGCGGGCCGCCACTCTCTGCCGTCCTGCCTGCTGCCGGAGAGGAACCAACCAAGTCTCGAGTGCCCCATCCCTCCCCGGCAGCCCGCGATTCACCTGTAGCCGCAAGAACACCGCCACAAAGACCGTTGTCAACGCCGCTAATCAGCCTCCGCCTTCAAGAATTGGGCTCTCAATAAAATGGCGACTGGCCGGGGGCGGGAACAGCACTCAACCAATCACCTGCCAGCTCCTGGGAGCCTTTGCACCAATGACCGCAAAGTTCTGTGAGTGACGACATATCTGACCAATAGAACGGCCAACAAGGGCCGTGATGGGAGGAAGCCCGCCCCCCGCGACCTAGGCGACGGCACCAAGCTCTGGAAATGCCGGGTGCATCTTCCAATGGGAGCTCACGGCGTCCCGGAGAGACGCGCCCAAGTGCCCCCACCCCGAGGCCACGCGTGACCAATCAGAAAAGCAACTCCCCCCCCTCCCCCTCCCCCTCCCCAAATTTTAGGGATTGAACTAACCCGGGAGCATTCCGACCAACCCAACGCCAGCATGTGGGCGGGGCCGGGTTCGTGGACATATTTAAGGAAATTTGCTGCGGTTGAGCTAAAAGTAGAAACTAGTTTGGGGTAGTGCTCCACATGGGAAATACCCAGACCTGGGCACCGAAATTAGGCATAAGGAAGATTTCCTATTCAGTCTAAAGTTAGACTGCCGCCCTTCCTATCAACTCATTTTCAACAGTCGGGGGAAATTAATTAACCAGCACCTTCCAGATGTCCCAGAGCCACAGCCCACATTTCTTTAGAATTGCATTCACAAGCTTAGTTCCCTAAGTAATGCCAACTTGTTTAGCTAAAATGGTTACGACTGTCTGTGAATGATGCATAACTGAAAAAATCAAGGGCTAGGGATGTTGCTGCGTGTTACAGCAGTTGATAAGCCTGTGTGATGGCCTGGGTTCAGTCTCCAACACCGCAGAACAAACAAAACCTAATACCTTCAGTAAACAACTTTATTCAGTGCTGAAAAGAAACAGTTATCAAGGACATCAGGAGAATTTAATTGTATTATTACTGAGGAAGGAAGCCAGTCCGAAAGGCCTGCATAATACATGATTTTAACCATACAACATTTGGAAAAAGCAAGACCATGAAGGCAGTAAAAACACTAAGGGTGGGGGCTGGTGAGGTGGCTCACAAATTAAGACCACTGGCCGCTCTTTCAGAGGACCAAGGTTCGATTCCCAGCACCCACATGGTGGCTAACAACCATCTGTACCTCCACTTCCAGGGAATCTGACACCCTCTTCTGACCTCCATGGGCTTTGCACCACATATGTGCACTTACATACATGTAGGCATAACACTCATATGCATAGAAAATATTTTAAAATAAACACTAAAGGTTTCAAAGACAGTAGAGGAGAGATGAATAGGTGGAGCACTGCAGATTTTTAGAGAAGCAGATTTATTCTACATGATAATGATGATATGGGCGTCTAAACCCAGGAAATGTACAACCAAGAGTTAATCTTAATGAAAATGATGGTAGAGATCGTGCTGTGTCAACATGTTTCATCAGTTATAACAAGTGCACCCCTCTAATGGGAGATGTTGGTAATGGGGGATGCTGGAGGTGGGACAAGAGAATACAGAAACTCTCTACACCTTCCTTTCAGTTTTGCTGTGACTCTAAAAGTGCTCTAAAAATGACCCTTAAAAAATAGGTGGATTGCCCCGCGTGGTGGTGCATGCCTGTAGTCCCAGCACTTGGGAGGCAGAAGCAGGTGGCTCTCTGTGAGTTTGAGGCCAGCCTGGTGTACATAGTGAGCTCCAGGACAGCTAGGACTACAGGGAGACCCTGTCTCAAAAAAAAAAGGGGGGTTGTAGGTTTTGGTAAGGTCTTCCTTCCTTCCTTCTTTTTCTTTTTTAATTTGATAACCAAATCCTAATGTTGTTTTAATGTTTTACTTGTTTTTTTAATTTTTAAAATTTTTTTATATTTTATGTGTATGAGTGCATTGCCTGCATGTGTGTAAGTACACCCATGTCATGCAGTGCCCATGGAGGACAGAAGAGGGTGTTGGATCCCCTGGAGCCTGGAGTTAGGAATGGCTGTTAACCACTAGGTGGGTGCTGGGATTTGAACCCGGTCTTCTACAAGAACAATCTGTGCTCTTAACCACTAAGCCATCTCTCCAGCCCATTACTTGCTTTTTTAAAAAATATTTTATTACTTTTATTTTTTTATGTGTATGAGCATATTGCTTGAATGTGTGTAAGCACTCCTCTGTCATGCATGCAGTGCCCACGGTGGTCAGAAGAAGGTGTCAAATCTCCTGGAACTGGAGTTATGGACAGTTGTTAGCTGCCATGTAGGTGCTGGGAATTGAACCTGGGTCCCCTGCAAGAGGAGCCAGCACTCTTAACCTCTGAGCCATCGCTTCAGCTATTTTTGCCGAATGTTTACTAGTAGTTTTATTTCATCTACTACGAATATTCATGACTTCCAAGGAAGAGATGTGAATTTGTTTTGCTAACAACTATGAAGGTTGTTTGTTTGAACCAAGCCACGATACGAAGGCGGGGGGAGGGGAGTAAACTAGCAAAGGTAAAATATTTATTTATTTATTTATTTATTTATTTTATGTGTATGCGTGTATTGCCTGCATGTAGGTAAGTACACCGTGTCGAGCAATGCCCACGGAGGTCGGAAGAGGCTGTTGGATCCCCTGGGACTGGCGTTATGGACAGTTGTTAGCTGCCATGTGGGTGCTGGGATTCAAACCCAGGTCTTCTGCAAGGACAGTCAGTGTTCTTAACTGCTGAGCCATCTGTCCAGCCCCAACAAAGGTAAAATCTTTCCTAACCAAAGAAATTCTAGAACAATAATTGGGATTTATTTCTCCACCTCTGACAACTTGAGAATATTCATTATTTCTCCAAGAAATGTGTTGAGCTTATGAGTAAAACAACATCACTGGGGCTGGAGAGATGGTCCAGCAGTTAAGAGCACTTGCTGTTCTTCCAAAGGACCCATGGTGTTCCCAGCACCAATGTTGGGTGGCTCACAACCTCCAGCTCCAGAGGATCCTACACCCTCTTCTGGCCTCCTTGGGCACCCATACATATGTGGCATACACACACACAGAGACACATACTATATTACTTTTCTGTTACTATGATAAAACACCATGACCAAAGCAATTTATAAAAGGAAGAGTTTGTTCGTCTTATGGTTCAGAGGGATAAGAGTCCATCATGATGGGGAGGCATGGTGGCAGCGGTGGCCAGAGCAGAAGGCTGAGCACTCACATCTTCAAGCAAGCACAGGGAAAAGAGAAGAAAAACTGGAAGTGAAGAAGACTAAAGCCCACCCCCAGGGATGTGCTTCCTCCAGTGAGGTCACACCTCCTAAACCTCCCAAAACAGTGTCACCAACTGGGCCCAAGTATTCAAATATTTGGAGCCTCTGGGGGACATTCTGAGTCAAACCATTCACACACACATATACAGAAATAAATCTTCGAGGCAGCATCCCTGTCCACTTGACTGACATTCAATTACTGAACCATGGCGATTATGAAACCATATGTCTAAAGCATAATCATGTGCCTTTTGTTCTTTTTAGTTGTGGTAGAGAGCAAATCTAGAACTTCGTTCATGCTAGACAAGCGCTTCACCACTGAGCTATATCTTCAAGCTATGGTATATATGTTTTATGCATACATTCATATGTATATATGCTAGTTTTCTCTCCATTACTGTAACAAAAGATCTGAAATAATTACTTGAAAAAAGAAAATGTTTTATTTTGGCTCACAGTTTTGAAAGCTTTAGTCCATGGTCAATTAACCCCTTTGCTTTGGACTGTGATGGTAAAGTACATTATGAGGGAAACGTATGGTGGAAAAAGCCTGTTCATCATGGCTATGAAGACAGACAGACACGCATGCACATACACACACACACACACACACACACACACACACACACACTAGGTGTCCTAGTTAGCTTTGTCAACATAGTCTAGAGTCACCTGAGACAGAGCCTTCGTTGAGGGATTTACCAAAACAGGTTGGCCTATGGACATGTCTATGGAAGACTGTCTTGATTATTAGTTGATATGGGAGGGCCCAGCCCATGGTGAGTGGCCCCATTTGCAAGACAGGTGCCCTGGGCTGTGTAAGAAGGCAAGATAAAGATGAGTCTGCAAGCAAGCTAGCAAGCAATGTTCTTCCATGGTTTCTACTATACTTCCTTTGGCCGTAAGTGGGTTTCCTGGTCAGAGGTGATAGTGCATGTAACAGCAAGCAAGCAAGCCTGGATTTGGATTCTTCCTTGGAGTTCCCTTGACTTCCCTCAGTGATGAACTGTAACCTAGAAATGCAAGCTAAATAAATCTTTTCTTAAGTTACTTCTGGTCAGAGTTATTTTATCACAGTAATAGGAGGGAAACTAGAACAGCAGTTCCAGAAGGCTCTTTTAAGAGCACCCCTTCAATGACTTCAGTCTTCCTCTTAAAAGCTCCACCACAACCCAGCAGCACCATGGGCTAGAGAGCAAGGATTGAGTATGTGGGTCTTTGGGGGACATTCTAGGTCCAAATTACAGCATTATCTTATATAGCTTTATGTGCATGGTAGATGTGGAGTGGGAAAGGCTAGAAAAAAATAGGCTTAATTTACCAGTGATGAGAGGTAGGAGGAAGGGTTGTGATTTTTTTTAAGTAATTGAAATAAAAATCATGTGCTGATTGTAAAACTCAGCTCATTAAAAAAAAATGGTGGGGCTGGCTGCTCTTGTGCTCTTGCAGAGGACCTGGATTCAATTCCCAGAACCCACATGCTGGCTATTTGTAGCTCCAGATCCAAGGGGGCTGACATCTACAGGCACTGCATGACACAGGTGCACTTATACACATGCAGGCAAAACACTTATACACGTTAAAAAATGCAAAAAAAAAATTAATTGAAGAAAACTAAGGATATAGCTCAGTGCTACAGTGTTTTCCTGTCATGTAAAAAGCCCAGATTCTATCCACAGCAAAGAAAGGAATAAAGAAATAAAGAAATAAAGAAAGAGGGAGGGAGGGAAGGAAGGAAGGAAGAAGGAAGGAAGGAAGGAAGGAAGGAAGGAAGGAAGGAAGGAAGGAAGGAAGGAACGGTAGGCAATTGGTTTAGCTGAAATCATAATTGCTGTCCAGGGAAATTTT